GACCGAGGGTTCGAATTAAAGGTACAGATTCTTGCTATATCATAAGTCTTATGGGTTAATTTATGAATTTATAGTCACCTCGCGAGCCCGTGGGAAGGAGAAATGTATTTAGAAATAGCCTTGCAAGAGAAAAGGCGGTTCTACAAAGTAGAGGATCACCCACAGATTGCTTTGACTCTACGAAGTCTTGGAAATGTATTGAACGAACTGGGAATACATACTAAAGCTATGTAAGTATCGAAGAAAGTTAATTATAGCCCAGAGATAACCTTCGGTAAGTTATTTTCAAAATTAATTTTCAAAGATCCAGCGACTCAATTTTAAGAAAACAACGAGAAATTTGAAAAAGCAGTCAAACCGAGGTGTTACTCTCGACTGAATGCCCAAAACAAGCCACTAAACGAAGCACCACTTACGCTAAAATTACCTATGCTAACGTCAAACGTTCCACAAAGTTTCATCAGACAACCGGATCTACAATCTTTACACGTTCATAATAAAATGATCATGGCGCGACAACGAATGATAACCGCGAAAAAATGTAAGCAATGTTTAAAATCAGAATAATGTTCCCGGTACCTAAATCTTTTTTCTCTTCAAAGCAGTAAAACGCCAGACTGAGGATTCCCTTATGACACTGCAGCTCAGAACACATCACTATCAAAAACTCAAATTCTTTAAACAGAAATCAAAGAAACTCACTCTTGACAGTAATTGCCTTGTTCATCAACTTCATTTAGTCTCAATGAAAATCTTAAACTTCATCAATTCTAGAGAGAAAATCTCTTTCCTTCCTGTTTAAATATTTTATAGTATGTACCTGTGTGGATAGAATGTATAGCTTGTGATGACAAGCAAGGCACCAAGAAAACCACTGGCTTGTCAATAACTACAATAAACATTTCCCAAATTTTTACTTTCAGTATTCAGAAAGATACTTTAGACTTTGAAGGGTTCAGACAGGCAGCGAAATATTGCTTCTGCTTAATTTACGTCAAAAATCATATTCGCAGCAAACTCGATATATTCTCACAAAAGTTTACGCACGACTTTAGACTGCCTGAAAGTTTGAGGCCTTGAGCGAAGCAAGCCGGCGGGAGATCTGTGAGGGGTTTAACATCGATGATCAGATTAAGTTTTAGGTTAATATGCGAGGGTAATTCTTTCTCATGTATTAAAAAAACTCACTTTTGTCTCAGTAACTTCATCCAAAGAGCCCTGAAGATTTATGTCGGTAAAGAAAACTTCAAACAGGAATATGGTTACACCCTGAGTGCATTGGGATCTTCGTACCGCTACCTCGGTCAGTATGCTGAAGCAGAAGACTACTTAAAGATGGCTCTCAAAATCTTTGAATCCGTTGAATCACCAAGCGAACTAAGGGTAATGTTATACTTAGAGGTCACAGCGATAATTCTACCTTTACGTTCTAGTTGAAGCTTGTTTTCAGCCTCGTCACAATATCCCTTCCCTAGCATTATTACTTATTGGGCTCCAGTCTAATAGTTAATTTGAGAGTGCGGTATTGGACCTTGTTGATCTATATGTCTGCAGATAGCATTCATAATATCATCCTGTAGCTCATATGCACCGGATCTTATAGCATTCATGAACCAGTGGAGCAGATGAATTCTGCCTGGAAACTCTTGCAACTAGATTAAGCTTAAATACTATATTTTTACACCAGATAATTATGTCTTCAAGCTTCACGTTTTGGGAGACTAAACGGATCTCGACTTACAGACGGATGATGAATTGTTATTCCAACATAAATTGTTGTGAATGGGGATTATTCCCATTCACGACACGAGTTATGTTATCTAAGATGTAAGATAGTTGTCTGCACTAATCCTCTATAATAATAATACTGATTTTACCAATATATAAACTTTCTGGCAACGCCACAATGCTCTTAGTTTGATTCCGATGCTATGGTGGCATGCCTTCAATGTTCCAGGATAAATGGCTTTTTGCCATCATTGTTCTTGTATTTGTTCTGAAATTCCTTCATACTGTCATCCAGGGCCCCTTTGTTTCCAGCAAAGTAAGCTGTAGTTGCATTTTGGAAGAGTGACAATTGTTTATGCATAACTTTCACCTGTTGAGGAAGTAGATAGAAGAAACAAATAGCAAAACTGACCCAACTTCTACTCGGGCGCATTGCGTGGAATAAACGTTTAAGGTGTCTACATGCAACGTCTAATAGGGCACTCCTCACAACAATTGTTTGCTCATATTAATGAAACATTGATACTTAAAACCTACGATGACTTCTCGTAGATACCTATGTCACTAACCCAAGATACCTCTCCCTCCCTCCAAGCAAGACTAACATTTCATCTTGGATATAGTCACATCAGTTTTAAACAGCTGATATAAATTGCACGCTCACACAAAATAAACAGTTCTAGCCTGTCTAGTTCTGACCTCAAACAAGATATCTTATATAATGTCTTTCTTTAGGATTTTCCACTTCTTAAATGTCCAAAATTTTGCATCATAATTTCACTAAAAGTTATGTCTGTTGATTATTGAAAATTTCTGTTAAAATACCGTATCAGATGAAAATAAGTGGCATCGTCAAGGAAATTCAGATTTTTTAAGTGCTTCCGTCGAAACCCCGCATAAATGCTCAAATGCTCAAATGCTTTTATTTTCAAAAGGGAATTCTATAATTTTTTTCATGTCCACCCGAGTAAAGCCCATAGCGGTAGTGTAAAAGATAACATCTCGCCATGATTACTGCAAGTGGGTCACATGAGACGTGAATTGCAAAAATACCTTGTTTTCTTCTAAAAATCTGAGTTTGATCGCTAAATCACCCCGAAGTCGATCAAATTTGTCTTTTTGGACATCATACTTCTGCTTTGCCGCTTCAGCTTTATGAACTGTCGTTGTTGTTCTTGGTCCAACTTGGATGGATTCTAGGTCTGTCCTGTAAGCATCATATTCTATTCTGGCGGATTCATAAGCTTTCACTGTCATGATGGAATCCTCTATGGTCTTGTGCACCAGAGTCGTCAAGTTAGATGTAAAAAGCTTAAGTGCCCCAAGAAGAACTTCTCCATTCTTGACCAGTAATCTTTGGTACTCAGAATTGTAGTTAAAGTCAGCCTGAAGTTCTGGAGATTTTACCCCTAAATCTGCAAAGGCATCGGCAAGACCTCTTTGACTTTGAACCATATTCTGTAAATGGTTCGTCATCTGTTTTGCCAGTTTTAGAACATTAACATACTTTACTTGGGTTTCTTTTAACAGAAGAATCTGTCCTTCAAGTTCTTTGTCTACGGTCCTTGTGCCTTTACCAAAACGTTCAGAAAGATACTGCCTGGTGAATTTATAAGTTGAAATACTCCATTTCTTTAAGTGATCTATTTTCTGAGACGCATTTGCTCGAATTAGAGCTTGGGAGGTGGGATGACTACCTGAAGTCGTACCTTCAGATGACTGCCAAGGCGTTGGTGATGTGGCGGGCCCTGCTGAGATTTGGTCAATAATAAACGTTAAAGATTTAAGCAAACAGCTACAGCTTTAAGGCTCGACTTTAGGTATAGCGAACTATAAAATATTTGTTGCGTCAATATCTCTGAGGAGATGCACTACCTCAGATGGCGTTTTGTCCCTCAGTTGGTTACCAGTACAAGAACAAAGACACAAACCTACTGCAAAAAAAGCTTGGTATATCCCGTTTTGGCCTGAGTTTATGCGCTTAGACGTACAAAAGCCACCCAGGAACTTAAGATCTACCGGTGGTGCTCAAGTACAAATCCCACCAATGACAAATATATATTTCAAGATAGTGCTGTGACTCTTTTGATTAAGCTCTTCTTGAGACATTTTTTAAACACAGCAAACCATGGCGTTTTTAGCAGAGGTTAAGCTCTTCCTACTTAGCCAAACTAATGCCGTTAGAACATGCTAACTTGAACCTCCTCAACTAGTTCCTTCCAATTTTTATGATTGATGTAATATATAGCATTTAACTATCATTTTTTTTTGCTATTGTTATCCTTCCTTTATTGTATATCAATCGGTAGATGTAGAGCAACTCTGTAGAGATAATACCGGTGAGCCTGTCCTAAACAGGGAATTGGCTTTGGCCTCAATAGCTCAGTGATTTGTTGCGCACTTACAAAGGATCTCCATTTATTTTCTTCCCAACGAAATGAGGAAAACTTTACAACTAATGGAGTTTGAAGACTTTCATAGACGATAATTACTACTAAGTGAGCGTTTTCCCTATCTTTACTTCATGGCCCATATGTCGTAATTGAACGCTTCTGAATTCGCCTCTAAATATGTGGTTGAGTGTACCAAAAAACCGATGAATACGATGTTGACACAGTAACTGCCGATTAATTTGCTCTAGTTTTCAAATGTGCATGTCAACGGAGCCCGATTAATTTTCAAAGGTGAACTTGTTTGAAATATTGAGCGTTGGAACATCTTTTCCGAGATCGTACGACCAAGAAATCTTGACTCACAGAATGATCCTAGTTTTTCTTATTCATCAATGTAAAACGTGCCTCCAACATTTGTAGAAAACCGCTCTTCGATAAAGATGTCGATTTAGATCTCATAAGATAGAATAAATAACTTATTATATTTCTCATTATTAGCCCCCTAAAACTTCATATTTTCATATCTTTTCACTGGTTGATCTCCGGTTGCAACAGCTTACCTCGGGAGGCTTTGTCCTTCATTGATATCATCCTAAAAACACGGACTAGTTTCCTTCACCAAGCTACGAAATTAAAAATCACAGACACGCAGTGAATGTGACTAAGTGAGCGGCTAGAACAAGCATGGTCACCGGTACCCGCAATTACCTGTAGCACAGTCCGCAATAGAATGGCAAGACTATTCGTAAGGAGTTTCAACTCCCACGGGTCTGTAAAAGGCGCAAAACAGAGTAGGTAGTACAAGTACAGTGGCTCAGCTTAAGAAAATTTCATGTAAGAGTTGCAGCTTACTCATGATGTAAATTATGGTGGGAAAGAATGACCATGATCGAAAAGAAACTTTAGTAAACAGCCTCGCGTGTACAACTTGTAATACACAAACTGAACTCTAGATCATGTTTTCCACTAGAATTGTGAAGTCTGTTTTTCATGTTTGTTAAAATAAATGTGAACAGAGCTTTTGAAGTATGCTTTTAGTAAACAAGTATTATCTTGTCTAATTTTTCTCACCGCAGTCGTTTGGAGGGCAAGAAACCTATCCAGACGAAATCTCTATTGCGAGAGAACTTGCAAAATTTTTTGCATGTATCTTTTGAAGAAAATTTTGAACTCGCAACCTATGGGTGATATCAGAATAAAAGGGCATTAAGTGATAAAAGTATAACCAGAAGAGAAAAAAATCAAAAGAGTGTTATGTCAATGGCCACCTCAAACCACCTGGTTTATTTTCATTAGGTTGTTCTAATTCACTGTTGTTTCAAACGCAATCGGTAAGGATATATCTAACTGACTGCAATTATCTGGCCTGAACAAACTAAATGGTCTCAACCTAAAAACCTTACCTTTCAGATTGGCGCGACACTCAGCCGTTTGGCCTCTGTGCAAAGAAATATGGACAAATTAGATGAAAGCATTGCTTCCTTGGACATGGCACTTAAAAAGTTTGGATACAACGACATATACAGTGCTGTTATTTTATCAAAGCTGAGCGTGGTGTACCGCTACAAGGCGGATTTTAAAAGAAGTCTCCAGTTTGCGTTGAAAGCTAAAAAAATTGCAGATGACCAATATGGCACAAAAAGTCATCCCGGTAAGTTATTGTTAATTCTCATCGTATTCTCCACAATGTTATCGTTTTGTTATTAACAAAACGAAGAGGTTGAACTATTCATTACATTAGCTACGTTAATCCTTGAGAACTTTTGAACTCGAGAGGATCTTTTTTCGTTACAGCTAGAGCTACAGCATTGTTAAATCTTGGACATGCGTTGAGTGATGTGGGAGATGTAGACGATGCAGTGAGAAGTCTTACAGAGGCCTTAGATATCAACAAGAAAATCCATGGCAGTATCCATCGCATTGTGGCCGCCAACTACAACTATTTATCTTATGGCTACCTACAGATGGGAATGGTTCAACAAGCCAAGAAAGAGCTACAAAACGCTATAAAGGTCATGCACCATTACTCTCGCTCTCACCCAGGTAATAAGCGACATTGTTACTTTCAATAGCAGAAACAGCTCGAAACTTACTCTCGAATCGTAGAAATGGATTGAGTTTAGGGCCTCTGTCGTACTTTAAGATGAAGAGTAAGAGGACATTTTTTTTCTTTTATAACAACCTGTCTCACTCTAACGGCTTTTGTGTGTAAACGATCATTAATAAAATTGACTAGAGAGGGGTCTCCCCTCAACCAGGATTAGATTCGACTAAGATAAGAAGCTAAATCGAGGACATGTAAGGAAGCCCTTAGGATCCGGTGCAATTGTTTTTGTCTCCGGTGCAATTGTTTTTGTTACAAATTAAAATCAGGGTCTTCTCACCGGCAAAACACCGCGATGGCGAGAGATTCCCCAACGATTGTAATAATTTCGATCAATGCATATTAGACCCCAAAATCAAAGATGACGTATTAACGCTTACAGCTGTTTTTTTCCTTTAAGAGAGAGCTAATTCTCTAAAGAGGCTAAGCAAGGTCTACCTAATCCTCGGGGAAACCGTCAAAAGCGCAGATTTAGCTGACCGTGCTCTCCAAATCTACAAACAAACGCATGGAGATACCATGGAACATAGAGAGGTAAGCCAAAAAACACTGCATAGTTGGTGAGTTAGATTTTTATGATAGGTACAAGTACACTGGCCTGTGAATTTTCCTTTTTGTTTGGAAGGAGCCCTTTTCAGGAGTACTGAAGTTAAGGAGTCACAACTTTTGCTCATGTCTAGGTATATTAAATACGAAAACTTATCTTACAGTATACATAGTCTGCCTATCAAACAATTTGTTGATTTCTCTTGAATTTTACTGCCGGGTAATGGGTAAAGGACCCTTATCAGCTATTGTTTTTTCTATATAACTTGCTCAATTTAACAAATAAGTTTCACGTTGCCGTGCCTCTGTTCAGTAATAGATCACAGCTGACGTTCATAATGTGGTACGAACAAAACAGTGGTAAACAAGGCAAAGCCGACTGTGTTACTAATGTTCCCGCCACATTTTGACGTCCCTTAGTGAACTGTTCCTGTACAAACCCGCGGCAATATGGAATCTATTGGTTTTACATAACAGAAAGCAAACTGTTGAAAATGGTGAGGTCATCTATGTGTCTGTCCTTCTGCATGTCGAATTCAGCTTATTATAAGAAAGCCGTTGCCTATCGACCATTAAGACGGTCAGACGCATCTATTTAAGCCAGAAAAAAATTTGTTCAAAGTGACTATGGCTGAAGCAGTATTGCGTAAAAAGATGTCGAAGCCTTAGATCTCCTACAATAAAAAGGTCACAAAGACATTTGGCCGAAGTCGATTGCGGCATCAAGAGAAAATAGCCACAGCATCAGGAATTTCTTACTAAGACTGTAAGTTAGGCTTTCAAACCAGTGTAACAATAGTTATTAATAAATATCGATAAAAATTGGAATCAAAACATGAGCGAGGACTGAACATATTTGATGCCTTGATACACAATGGGGGAACCAAGTTCTTCAAGTTCGTGACATTGATTCGTTTCCCTAAAAAAAAATAAAAAATTCTAACATTAGGAAAAAAATGATCGATTTTCAGAAAAACAGTTCCACTTAGAGATAGAGACTCGGATTAAATACCGAGGAAATGATAATATTCAGCCCTGGCAAGGAGGAAAAAAAGGTAAACGAACACCTGATTCCACCTCGTACCAAATATCCTTCGAAGTGGAATTCTCTGTACGGTAACGAGTGCATACAGACGCACAAGGGCCACACGCCAGCAAATTTAATTGGAAAGTTTAATTAAACTCGTCATTCCATGAATTGTTTCGATGATCGCTTCTTCATAACATGATCACGAAAGTTTGATATTTTTTTAGATTGAAAAGGTCATAGACAGACCTACACAGACTCCCCTGTGTGGTTTTACGTTTGCGACGCAAAAGCCTTTAATTAAAGCTTCGCTCTGACGAGTATGTCTTTGAGCGATTTACCTCTTTTGTATGATATAATCGGAGGCGTTTTGTAAATTGTTTTCAGCAGTGGCATCAGTATTTGTTTTAAATTTTTAACCCCTGGGTGGTATGCTGTCACAAAAGGCAATATTTTGCCTGTAGTTTTTTTGGTTTGTTTTTTAAGTGTCGACTGCCTTGCGGCAAACGAGACCTCAGATAACGTTTTTTCAATTCGGCTTTTTGGGTAACCACGTGCTTCAAGTCGTGTTTTGAAGTTACACATGGCCTCCTGGAAATTTCTTTCCGAGGAGTTTGTTCTTAGAAGTCTGATAGCTTCTCCTTTAATAAAGCCTTTCTTAACACCTGGCGGGTGGCAAGATGAATAGTGTGTATATTGAAAGGCCTCGGTCGGTTTGTAGTGAGTTTTGACATCGAGGATAGCTTCGTTTTGGAATCTTTCACCTTTGTAGACAACCGTATCTAAGAATGTGATTTCAGTCTCTGAGATTTCAGCCGTGAACTTTATAGTTGAATGGAACGTGTTAGCTTGTTCTATGAATAGATCAATGTCTTGTTTACGAACATTCCACAGGGAGAAAACGTCGTCAATGTAACGCTTCCATACTCTCGGCTTGATACTGCTTTGGTGAAGCAGTTTTGTTCCAATTTCTGCCATAAAGAGATTGGCGAAAGCAACCGCCATTCGTGTTCCCATGGCAGTTCCAAAACATTGGAGATAGTTTACCCCGTTGAACTGGAACGAATTTTCTTTCAGTATAAGCCCGAGCATTTGTTTTAAGTAGTGGGACGGAATGGGAGGGCTGTTATTGTGGTATTTTTCGTATGCTTGGCATACTATTGTCACACCCTTACATTTATAAGTAAGCGGATTTTAGAATTTTAGTGCTGTGTTTTGAGACAAATTTAGATTATTCACAGAATTCGATTAGGACTTGTGTCGTAACACACGTGTCCAGTTTCTCTCCACTCCTTTGCAAACAGATTTCAACTCAACAGTAATGAAGGGAACACCTTAGTATTTTTTACCCCTTTCCCCAACTATCCAGGGCTTCTACTTGCAAGGACGAAATTTGTTTCCAATAGGTTAGCAGGTAACTATATGCCTTTTCTCTTAGTAGGGTAACAACATAAAGATAAAATTATCATGACTTTATGTTGTCAATTAGTAGGCGACACTACAATTCTATTGTATTGCCTATTTTAGGTGCGGAGGGGTGCAGTTCGGGTGGCTTACGCTTGCTCTAAGCTTGGTTTGTCTGACATGGCTGAAGAATATCTCATAGAGGTAGAACTTGGTTTTCCCATGGGCCAAGAAATTAGATCCCACCCCGAATTTGCCGCACTTCTCCGGAAGAAAACCGAAATTACTTTAGATAGCTTCGAATTCAACTGGCCTTTGAACGAGGTGAGCGTCCAAGAAATAATTTCACGGGCAAACAAGGATTTACTCCAAGCAGAAGAAATTTTGAGCTATCCATTTCGATTTAAACAACAAATCGCATTAACAAAGAAGGAAAAAGCGCGGTTAAGCATACTAATGGGAAACTACGGCAACGCGTATAACGACATTCGTTCAGCTCTAAACATTCTCCCGCGGTATTGCGATTATTTGAAGGCAGATTTTTCGTTGATAAGGAGTGATGCTGAAAGAGGCCTAAATCTGGTTAATAGATCAAAGGTGTCTTTGGAAACAGCTGAAAACATTTATCGAAATATTTTTGGTGACGACCATCCAATGGTTGCAGTCACTTTGCAAAAGCAGTGTTCTCTACATTTGGATTTCGAGCACAAAAGTAACACTGGCAAGAACGAAGCCCATAAATATTTTGAAGCAAGTCACCAAGCTTGTGAAGTCCTTAAAAGTAACTTGGAGCAGCAGCTTGCCGGTATCCAAACAGATTTTCTCAGAAACTTCAGTTTTGACCAACACCCTATTCTTAAACGACAGAAGTCGCTTCATAAAAGGTTAACGCGCAATCAAGGTGCTTGGTGAGCTGAGTAAAGACACTCCACCAAAGAAAAGGAAGACAAGAACATTTCAACAACAGTTCACAGCAGTTTATAGAGCCTGAAAACGATTCCCTTTCTATTCACCAATTATTGATGTAACGATAGTTCTGCTCTTTCGTTTATTTCATTAATGAAACGACTATTAGAGTCACTTTCTCATGTCATGGCTGCCTCACATTACGCTTTTATGTCCAGTGGTAAAGATGAACCCAACTTGCAATTTATCATAGATTTCATTCCGATAGAATATACTCTTTTTGAACACTTATAAAGTGAGAAATCACGATAATCGTGAATTCGTGTGAGTGGTGGAAAAGAGGTGGGAAGGGTGGGGGTAAGATCACACGTCGTTTCTCTACTCCCATGAACTGTTATGATATGCAAAAAACCTTCCGGACATCAACGTTTGCTTTTTCTTTCTTATGTAACTCTCAACTGTTATGTAACTTTCTGGACTGGTTATGTAATCACTTCGGACTACTCACGTGTCAGTTCTCGGGTTACACGAGAAAAAAACATTTTTTGTAATAAGAGAGTCGCTATCGCGTTGTTGTTGTTTCGTTAGCTCTAAAGGTAACCTGCCTCTCAAGTAATTAAAGTTTGTGTTCAAAGAAGCTTACTGGACTCAGACTCACTATCTTGCTCTCTCGCGTCTTAAAGGACAAAACTTGGTGTCAGGAGTGGGATCACGTTTCACGAGCTTTGTTGTTGTTGGTGGAAGTTTATTTTATATTGGTCATGACCTCGACCTCTGCTAGTCAGCAACCTTCTGGTTCATCGGCTGCTGCACCGATCTATACCACCACAGTACCGCTAGCCAAACCTCCAGATCCTCTTAATCTCGAAGACAGGTCACGTAGAGGCGATAACTGGTTACACTTTAAGAGAGCATGGCAAATCTATGAACGGGCGGCTGGGATAAGTCAAAAGGACGGCCCAGTCCGTGTTGCTCATTTTCTTAACATCGTTGGAAGAGAAGGAGTCCAATTGTTTGACACCTTTACCTTCGCTGAAGACGAAAGCGCTGACAATATTGATGACGTCCTGGCTAAATTTGAATCTCGTTGTTTGCCGCAGCGAAATCAGACGTATGAACGGTACCTCTTCAACAAGAGAGAGCAAGAACCAGGAGAAAGTGTCGATCAATATTGCACAGCACTGATGCGCCTTTCTGAACACTGTGGGTTCCTAACCCTAAGAGACAGCTTGATAAGAAACCGCCTCATCCTTGGAGTCAAGAATGATCGGTCACGCAAGAAACTTTTAGAGAAGAAAGATCTCACTTTGGATAACGCGTTGGATATCCTGCGAACACAAGAGCTAACTGATATACGCGCTTTAGACATGACAACTGAAGAAGCTAATGTGAATAGGGTAAAAGCCAAGAAAACGAAACCGCCTAAGACCCAGACTGAGGATACAACACCGCATAAACACACTTCAGGTAAGAAGCGGACTCCTCCGTGGAAGTCAAGAGAAAAAAAATCTGGTAACCCCGACAATGTATACACACGAGAATGCAAGTTTTGTGGTACTGTTCACGAGATGAAAAAGTCAGCTTGTCCAGCAGTTGGCAAGAAATGCACCAAATGTGGCAGAGACGGACACTTTGCAAAAAAATGCCACTCTCGCTCTGTCAATCACGTACAAGATTGTGAAATCTACAGCCACAAACCCTCCCCCACATCAGCTTATGTAACGGCGTGCCTTAACAATAATGCCCAAGTACAACTTCAGATTGATACAGGTGCTTCATGTAACATTCTCCCCAAAAGTGCCTACATCCGGGCTACAGGAGACAAACAGTGTACAAACCTTGAACAGTCGTTTACAAGGCTCATCATGCACAACAAGACTGTAGTCTGGCCACTTGGTCAAATCCGCCTACTTACTGAACGGAAAGGAAGAAAATATGGAGTTCTTTATCACATTGTGAAGCAAGATTTGACACCCCTCCTCTGTCGAACGACGTGTGAAAAGATGAACCTGGTCAAAATCTTGGATGCTGACGTAAATGCGATTCACGACGAAAGAATTGACGTCTCGTCAAATGTTAGAAGTGATCCTACCCTATATGAATTTACCGATATCTTCACTGGAATTGGCTGCCTTGAAGGAACCTACTCCATTCAAGTGGACGAAGGTTTCCGCCCGGTGGTACATCCCCCTCGTAAAGTGCCAGTCCCACTTCGAGATACCCTCAAGTTAGAGCTGGATAACATGGTGAAGAGTGGTATCCTCGCCAAGGTAGTTGAACCGACATCATGGGTCTCTAGCCTTGTCATAGTGAAGAAATCTAACGGGAAAATACGAGTATGTCTGGATCCTCGAGATCTCAACCGCGCAGTGAAACGCTCGCATTATCCACTTCCAACTATTGAGGAAGTAGCAACTCGCCTTAGTGGTGCTAAAGTCTTTAGCGTGTTAGATGCCAAATGTGGATTCTGGCAGGTACAACTTGATGAAAAGAGTAGTTACTTGACAACCATGAACACACCTTTTGGTCGCTATCGATGGCTCAGAATGCCATTCGGAATAAACTCAGCCCCAGAAGTATGGCAACAACGAATGCACGAGCTAGTAGAAGGACTCGCAGGTGTTGAAGTCATCGCCGATGATTTCCTAGTTTGCGGTTTTGGAGACTCTAATGAAGCTGCAATTGCCAACCATGATCAGAATCTCAAGGCTTTCCTCAGTCGCGCAAGAGAAAGAAACCTCACTCTCAACAGCGAGAAGTTGAAACTTCGACAGTCACAAGTTCCTTTCATAGGACACCTCCTTACAGCGGAAGGTCTAAAACCTGACCCGTCAAAGGTACAAGCTATAGTGGACTATCCAGTGCCTACCAATCTCGCTGAACTCAGAACGTTTCTGGGAATGGTGCAGTATCTGGCGAAATTCTGCCAACATCTGTCTACAGCATCACAGCCCTTAAGACAGTTGGAAAAGAAGGAAATAGAATGGCATTGGCAACACCCCCAAGATAAAGCCTTCAAGGAGATAAAAGAGCTCATCACTAAAGCCCCAGTCCTACAGTACTTTGACGTGAGTAAGAATGTCACTATACAGTGCGATGCCTCACAGTATGGCATTGGCGCAACTCTACTTCAGGAAGGACAGCCAGTTCACTACGCCAACAGGGCACTGACGTCGACAGAGCAAAATTACGCACAGATTGAGAAGGAGCTCTTAGCTGTTGTATTCTCTTGTGAGCACTTCGAGCATTACATTTATGGCAAGCACGTCACAGTCGAAACAGATCACAAGCCACTGATTGCTATACAGAAGAAGCCAATCAATACAGCTTCTAAGAGATTACAGCGTATGATGCTACGTCTTCAAAGATTTGACCTGAATCTCACTTACAAGCCAGGCAAAGAGATGTACATCGCTGACGCACTTTCTCGCGTTCTACCTAAGCAGTCAAAGGTACCAAATGCTAGCACCTCATCCTGCTATAAAGATCTAGAAACTGTCAACTTTGTTGAAGACTTATCGATATCAGAGTCGACACTTGCCAAGTTTCAAGTGGAAACGGCCAAGGATGAATCTTTACTAGCGTTGTCACAAGTTATACGCGCTGGCTGGCCTACAAAAACTTCCATGGTACCTACAAGCGCACAGCTTTTCTTCAAATACCGAGATGAAATGACGCTCCAAAATGGCCTAGTTTTCAAAGGAACGAAGATCGTTGTCCCAGAGAGCCTTCGCCGTGACATGATAGAGGAAACACACAAGTCCCATCAGGGACTCCAAGCATGCCTTCGAAGGGCCAGAGAGGTTTTCTTCTGGCCAGGAATGTCTGCACAACTCAAGAATCGTATTGATAAATGCTCTATATGCCAAAGTGTGAGACCTGAACAAGCCAGTGAACCTCTTCAGCCTCACCCAGTTCCTGACAGGCCATGGCAACGAGTTGGAACAGATTTGTTTACCTTCGAGAACCGAAACTACCTCGTATTAGTTGATTACTACAGCAACTTTATCGAGCTGGATCATCTTGCCGATACTACGTCCCAGACAGTCGTTCACAAGCTGAAGATGCATTTTTCGCGACATGGGGTACCCGATTACGTAGTTTCTGACAACGGTCCTCAGTACTCATCCTCAGAGTTCCGAAGATTTGCAGTAACGTGGAAGTTCACTCATATCACCACCTCACCACACTATCCACAAGCTAATGGGATGGCCGAAAGCGCAGTCAAAACCTGCAAGACTTTAATGAAGAAAGCTCTTCTGTCTCAATCCGATCCATATCTTGGTTTATTGGATCACCACAACACCCCCACTGCTGCGACAGGTATGTCTCCATGCCAACGACTTTTTGGTCGCCGAACTAAGACACTTCTACCCTTCTCAGAGTCTTTACTCAAGACTGACCAAACAGTTAGTGATCTTCTCAAAAGGGATCGTGTCAAGCAAGCGAAACATTTCGACCAACATGCTAAACAACTCTCAGAACTCAAATCAGGTGACATAGTGCGCATGAAGATGCCTGGAGAAACAAAGTGGTCAAAAGCAGTTGTTTCTTCTAAAGTGGCATCTCGCAGTTACAAGGTTGAAGTCAATGGTAGATTCTACAGGCGTAATCGCAAGCAGTTGCGTTCTACCATGGAACCACTTCAAGAAACCCCCTTCAAAATGGACGAAGATGACCTGACCGTTCCAGACAATCTGCAGGAACAGGACCAACCCCCTCCAGCAAGTTCTCAAGTAGGAACATCCATGTCCCCTCCAAGATCTCAACTACCCCCAACACCTCAAACAGAGCTGAGTGCAAGACCACCTCACGAAGCTACTACAACTGAAATACGGACACGACATGGACGATTGATCAAGCCACCTAAAAAGTTTGACATTGAGTTATAGTTAAAAAAAAAAAAAGAAAAATAGAAAAAAGGGAAAGATGTTATGATATGCAAAAAACCTTCCGGACATCAACGTTTGCTTTTTCTTTCTTATGTAACTCTCAACTGTTATGTAACTTTCTGGACTGGTTATGTAATCACTTCGGACTACTCACGTGTCAGTTCTCGGGTTACACGATAAAAACATTTTTTTTATAATAAGAGAGTCGCTATCGCGTTGTTGTTGTTTCGTTAGCTCTAAAGGTAACCTGCCTCTCAAGTAATTAAAGTTTGTGTTCAAAGAAGCTTACTGGACTCAGACTCACTATCTTGCTCTCTCGCGTCTTAAAGGACAAAACTTGAACAGCCAATCGTTACTAACCACTTTAACTAACGATCTTCATCACTGTGCGCTACTATTGATGGACGGTTTCATCTAGAAACGTCTTTAAAGTACAAAATTAAAATATTTTGTCTTCTGTAATATATTTTTAACTGCTCTCTGACTAGTTGCTGTAAGATAACTGGTTATGTCAACAACTACTTAATTTTACTTAATTATACTTTTTGACCCTTCTAGGAGTTTTTAGACTTTCCAGGGTTTCTAGTTAGACTAGTGTTATCCTTGAATCGAGATAAGTCAAAAAAAATGGTCATAACAAGCCAACTTACTGCAAAATAAGAAACATAAAAGTAACACTTCAAACTGATACAGAATATAAGCCTTGCAGGGTTTGGCTCTCAATAACATTGGTTAAAACTAGCCAATGTTGAGTTTAACTGCTCATTCGAAATGGGCTGACAGCCTGCAATTTGGCTGCTTACAATGAAGTAACTTCCACTGACTTCACACCTTTCAGACTGCTTTTCAGGAAGAGGTTTGGCCTCTGCTGCCTATAATTACTACAGCCAGCTTGTCTACCACTAAAAAACATTTTTACTGGTCTGTGCAAGTGTTACTAGCATATAAAAAGCACCTTCAGGTAGATTAGAGCAAAGCAGACTTTGTACCAAAATGTTTTGCATTAAGTACATCATAACCCTTTTCAGGTATTTCTAGTTTACTTGTGAAAATCCCTCAAATCACAAGCTATATTACATCATACATTCAAGTTCAGGTAGGCAAACCTTCTAAATTAGTTGTGAAAATTTCTTGAACCAGTCATTTTATGAATGAATGTTTGACTCAATTTTACCTCACTAACTTAAACTGAATAAAGAGAAACTTGAAATTTATTTCTTCTCCTTTTGAGGTGTGCATCAAAATTTTGAAGTCGTGGCAGGCTTGAACTATAGGTTTACAAGAAATCTGCATGCATGTGTGTTTTCAACATATAATACAGGGATTATGACTACTTCTAATGACTTTACTACTCAGGTTATCATCTTTCCACAAGCTCAGTGGAAAGTGAGTGAGTGGGACTGATAGTGACTGTGTTATATGAGTAAATATCCAGAGAAGGATAAAAGGCAAGATATGGTCTTCACAACTTTCTTATTTTAGTTTTATAACCTATTAAGCTTACTCATTTATATTCTTCCTGTGTGCATTATGAGGACGCCAATTAGTTTAACTTGCATGCAGGTCAGAGTAAAAACATGAATTAAAATAGCAGAGCTAATTTCAGTCCTAATTAAAGAGGAGTCTTGCTTTTCCAGTTTCCCACCCTTTAAAACTCTCGTATCTTGTGACCAATTCCCTATATCAATGTTTAGTTTGGGTATGAGCATTGGAAAGAAACCTTATGCAATAATAAAAGCTTGAGCAAAAGTATTTAATGCCATTCAAATAATAATATTACATGATACAATGTGGCAACTTACACAGCAAAACTTATATGATCACACAATTCCAAACAAAGGAAGTCAGGTTATTGACTAACCTGCTTCAACATTTAAGGGCTTGAGGTACAAAGAAATAGACATGGTAAACAGTTACAATTAATACAAAGTTGAAAGTTTGAAAGCTTAGAGATATACATTACAATCATCAAATCCTATGCATCCTGGCAAAGAAGGGTCAGTTACCACCATAACTTCTCCCAAACATTCATGCTTACAAGAAATCATTAATTTTTGTCATTAGGTGGTTCTGAACTTATCATAGTTCTACTGATACAAATGCATTTTCCTAAAGTTATCTCATAGCTTATGACTGTACAGGTCATGTGGATGGTTCCTGTTTGGGAACTGACAATTCAATTACCTCAGCAAACTGTAATCATCAAAATTGCAAGCCAAGGTGTATCTACTGTGTGCTCAAGTTTCCAAAGTAGTCACTTAATTGTTACAGTCGGAATCCGGTCGTTTGGATACAAAGTAGTTTCGATACAAGTCGAAGTCGTTTCATCACACATGTAACGTCGATTCGATACAAACTCACGTTACATGGAGTCGTTTCAAATTACGGCGCCTGATATGTTTACAAACCTCTGTTTGGTTCTTCTGTTGCTACTTGCTGGCTCGCTTGTTCCGAAATTTCACTTTCAATTATCGGAAAAAAGCTAAAAAGAAGTCCCGGAAGAGGTCGAACATAGTACAATTTGGCAGATGGCGTGACAGCTTTAGCTCAGTTCTATGCTCTATACTCTCATAGAGCACGCTCTTTCAACCAATGACAGCGCGCGTTATATCCGGTCTTTATTATAATTAACAAATAGAGAAGCCTTGACTTTGCTCTGTTCTGTTATAAAGCACGCAGGAAGCAGCTAGAGCACGAAAGAAGTGTAGGGAGAAACACGAGACGTAGTCGAGTGTTTCTCCCCACTTCTTGAGTGCTCTAGCCGCTTCCTAAGTGCTTCATAACAGAACAGAGCACAATCAAGGCTTCTCTATTTGTTTTATAATAAAGAATCCGTCAAATTATCGAAGCATTACATTCAATTTTCAAAACTTACTTTATTTCCAAAGCGAACAACAATGTCGTCAGAATGCTCTATACTCTCATAGAGCACGCCACAATAAGCCAATCAGAATCCCTGTTAGAATGGTTCAAATAATCTGATTGGCTCTACAAGACAAAAGCTGTCAAAAGTGTCAAACCATCAAAGTTCAAAAACCATCAAAGTTCACAATCTGCGATAGTTTACAAACTAAAATAGTTCGGCAGGTCGATTTTAACGCTTTTGGCTGAAGTTTTTAATACAGAATCTTCAAGTGAAATGTTCAGTGAACTTCAGCCGAATTATGGTTCATAAAAAAACACGCGAGTTTTTTCACATGACAAGGTAGAAAACAAACTGTTCAAGGCGAGTGTTTTTTAAATGAACGACAGCCGAATTCACCGGAACATGAAGATCGCTCGGGATGACAGCGCCGCAAAACTCGGCTGCAGTGACTGAAGTGACTTTCTACTCAACGTATCGGAAAGGATATCAGAGCGAGCTCTTATTTTTTCACTCGAAGGCTGGCCGATGTAGTTTCTGAGGCTTGCTTTACTGTAATGACCGGAGATCGCCATGCTAAGCGAGCCGCGATGGACTTCAGCATGATCATATTTGCTCAGACACCGTCATGATTAGTATGAATTTTAACAGATATGTCAGTTTGATTATATTTTTCATAATTTCTGTTTTGTTCTGTTTTGTTTTTGAACTCTGAACTTTATATACTATACGAGTGTTTGCTGTGTTTGATTTTTATTCCCGTTCGTAAGCTTGCAATCTAACTGAGCGTGAAAATCTTTAAAACTCGGAATGTCTATTTTGTTTTTCCTTTGAGGATTTTCGTATCTGCTCACGTTTTAATAATGTAAATTACGGCGCATTACATGTTTACAAACCTTTGTTTGGTTCTTCTGTTGCTACTTGCCGGCTCGCTTGTTCCGAAATTTCACTTTCAATTATCGGGAAAAAGCTAAAAAGAAGTCCCGGAAAAGGTCGAACATAGTACAATTTGGCAGATGGCGTGACAGCTTTGGCTCAGTTCTATGCTCTATACTCTCTTAGAGCACGCTCTTTCAACCAATGACAGCGCGCGTTATATCCGAACTTTATTATAAATGTATATAGATGACCAAACGAACCTTCCAAGACATACTCACCAGAGCGAACACAAACCAAGAGCCTATTACTGGGCTCCTGAACAAACCCATACCTCCGCGAACCTCCACATATACCTAAGCCTCCTACGCAATGAGAACACGCAAACGAGACCAAATTTTGGTTAAGTTTATTTATCGAGAACAGAGATTTATATATATACATTTGAGATTCTTCTATAACTCCAGCGCATATCATACCTACGATCAAGAAACACAAATATTATCAATAACGTCGTGGAAGTGATGCCACGGATCTGTGAGGAAACAGCAGTTATTCTGGCGCGTGGGTAGGTGGGTTTTTAAATTATTATATCAAGAGACGAGTAAACTAACTGTTTAACCAATTGTTCTAATGACAGCGAATAAACCAATCCAAACACCTTAAACCAACTGATATCAGTGTTTAATACACACTGGGACCTGAAGACCAAGATCTTCAACCTCTAGGATGAGTTAAACTCTAGTGCTCGCAGTGCAAGAAATCTACTGAAGGCGTATTCCTACCTCAACAGCCCAGTAGCTTCATAAAACGGTTCTTTCGGGAGCTGCCGCGCCCTGCTTTCGTCGCTTTGGGCGACTTCAGGTCGCTAAAAACGGCTCTTTTAGGAGCCATCACATTTGGGAAAGTCATGATCAACGGAAACGTTCTTTAGTAATATGATTAAGTCTTCAATAAAGTTTGTTCTCTTTGGCCGCGGGGAAACTCGGTGGATCGAGTCGCGGGGAAACTAGGTAGTACAATAACGTCGATCGATCGAATCGCCTAATTAATCGAGTCTAATTTTAGCTAATTTGTCAAATAGAAAACAACAAATCACCACACATATCAAAGACGAAGTCGAGTTTACTTCTGTATCAACTTCAGTTTGTAACGAATCGAATTCGACTTGTATCGAAACGACTTCGTATCGAAATGACCGTGAACCTTACAGTCGAGTTCACTACTTTTTGAGGCTTGATCTTCAGCTTGATCATCCTGTTACATGTGAAAAAATCAAATGTTAACTCTCATATTCAAATGGCTACTTCAATCAAAAGTTATGATTTTTTTCATAACCTGCTTCCTTTAACCCTTAAATCCCTGAGAGTGACTAGTGTAGTAAAACCACGGCCATGGAAGAAAGTTCTTGAAACAAAAATGTAAAGAGCTTATTATGTATAAAAAAGGTCACACTGCTGAGGCCTACAAAAGTATTTTTGGCATACCTCAGACTAGTACAATAACCATTCTTGGTCTCACGTTTCAGCCGAACTGCAAATTCAGTACTCACCTAAAAGAAAAGTTAGGTAAAGCTAATAAATGTTTATACGTTATCAGATGCCTCCGCAAAGAAGGATGTAGCCAAGCAGAAGTAGATGTTTTATTTAATTCCATTGTCCTACCTAATATTACTTATGCTCTATCTGTGCATGGGGCCTCTGAGTCAGAGCTAACTATAGCCCAGCAGTTTTTAGATCGTTGTTTTAAACGTAGTTACATATCTAAGAAATTAGTGATAGGTGACTTACTTAAAACGCAAGATCACAAAATTTGTCGCAAGGTTTCAACTATCCTGAGCCATCCTCTTAGAGCCTACTTCCCTGAGACCAAGATCATGAGGTATAATTTGAGAAATAAATCCCCTGTCATGCCCGCCATTCGCACAAACCGTTTTAAGAATACATTTTTTAATAGAATTGTTTTTAAGTACAATGTAGCTTTGTAAAAGTGTACTTCCTGTATTAGACTTTTGTATTTGTTTCCACGTATATACTTATCTTATTTAGATACACCTAAGCTTATTTACATCCTTTTTTTAATGTAACATAAGATATGTAATTTTATCTTTTGAACAATAAAGACACAGACACAGACACAGACACATTCTATGTTAAGTGAAACTTTGTTATGAATTTTTTCGCGACAACAATGAAAACATCTATGAAGCTGCAATAACAATTACGAATCTAAGATATCCTCGCAGCTAAGAACACTACTGAAACGAGTAGTTGAAAGTAGGACCTGAAAAAAATTTAGGCCCGTACGGTTATTTGAACCCATGACCTCTGCAATACCGGTACAGCGCTCTACCAACTGAGCTAACAAGCCAAATGGGAGCTGATTAGTATGTGGGTCCAAATATGCCATTCAAGTGATGATCATGGATTCATCCCTATTTTTAGTATCTATCTTTTGCCAGCTGACATCTGAGAAGAATCAAGCCCACACTGGTAATTTGACACATTGAAGGCAAACCCTACGACTGAATAAATTTTACTTGATCATAAACATGAAAGGCATTAGAGGAAATTGACTTGCACAATTCAAGTTTCCTTTCTTAACGCCTTTGGCAAATCTTTCAAATGTACATGGAAGGTTTCATGTGCGAGTCTTGTTCACGCGAGAATTCGAATCCCATTTGTTTGGCCTTTAATAATAAGGGAAAAAGAATCTACATCGAAAGTGAAACTCAATCCGCGGTTCTTCTCGCTTTCGCCACGCCACGTCATACTCTTTGTTAAACTGGCAAATGTTCCCTGTCTGCCCTACGGAGAACAAGGAGATTGTTGGCTACAGACAAAAAAACCGTAAGTAAAGACTGAAATTTCACAGCTTGTTTCTTTCTTTAGTTAAAAAAATTCTTACTTACACGGGTAGTGAACTTGAAAAATAAAAAAAAAAAAATTGTGAAAAAGGTGGCTTCAGAGAAATTCACAAGAAAGATGATTTCGACATGTTAATTTCGTAGCGCAGCATAATTAATGACGCGACAGAATATTCGACGCATCGGTGAAATTTTCTTAGCTAGCACTGCCTTGAGTTAAGGAGCATTTGGTAAAATTTCCGCACAGCCCCATACTATTGTAAAAAAATATGTTTTCCCAATGGCAATGTATTGTTTTTGTCTTTGTTTTCTCTATCCAAGAACTAAATGCATAATTTAGGATGGGGCTATGCGGAAATTTTACCGAGTATTTTACCGTTTCAAGCGATTTCTTCGACTCAGTAGATCTCGAGATATCGATATTTTTTAGAACAGATTTTTACAAGTGGTATCATTCTCAATGAAACAGCGAAGACAAAAAGTGTGCAAGTGCACGCTATAGGATATCACGTCAACAAAAAAAATGAAGGAACTTTGTGTGAGTCAACGATTTTCTTTTGTTTTTGGGTGCGGGTTATCTGTTGAAATTTTTTTCTCGTTGTTGCAAAAATTGATCGATGCGGGTTATCTGCCGCACGGGTAAATGGACTGAAATATACGGTACATGAAATATATAATACATGGCCCCAAATTTGCTTACAGTGCAACAGTTTGCATGATGATTCCATGACGATATCAAGAGTGCAATGATGTCTAACGTGTAAATACCATCGGACTATTTCGCTCTCTCACGGAGAAGCTTTCAGTTTCCATCTATGATATTCACCCAATCCGTCTGTTAGATCACAATTATTACAACTCCGTTTGTACGCTGAATTTTACCATATTTCAAACGACCATAACATCGGGGGTTACGAATGTACATAGAATAAAAGAGCTTTTTTCAACGAGCAATTCTTGGTGTTTATCATGTAAAAATATTATCTTTGGCCCGCGAAAAGCGGGCGCGCCAGACCAAAATAAATAGCGTGCATTTTCACGGAGTTCGGCCATTTTCTTTCTGTACTCCTGCTGCAAATTACACGCTATTGGGACAAAACTCGACGTTTTCGGTCTCTACGTCTGTTTTGATTCGTTTAAATATATCAATTTTAACTTTAAAATTACCCTATCTTTATTTTTAAGTGAATAAACCTTCGTTTTAGGTAAAATTTTTGAGTTTATTTTTCTCGAATGCTAAACAAACAAATCGCTGTTTACAAAGATACCAGCTCTGTCGACGTGTTTTTAGCTGAAATTGGCCTGTCGCTTATATTGTTCTTTAATTTACAATCTGTCCCACTGGCATAACTCTAGAGTAAATTACATATAACTATAGATGTTGTTGTAAATACGTGAGCGTGAACTAAATAAAATATTCGCACATATAAAATATTCGAAACATGTAGTTGTCGCAAGAAAATACTCCCTTGTGCATGAATTTTTGCTTCTGTCTCTACTGTCCCGAGTTGTAAGATTAAAATGTTCATATTGGAACCTTGAGTGGACCAGCTTGACTTGAGCAGCCAACGACACGTCATCTTAGGCCATTGGCTTATATACCGTCAAATGGTACTCTATAGATATTTACGAAGATTGAGGTTACCAACGAGGAATCTATTGTATCAGTAATAGTCAGGGATTACCCTTTAAGTCTTTACATTCTTTAAGGAATGGTCATCATACATGCACGATCTAAAACATTCGATTTTCCTTTTTCACACCGAGCCAAGTGTTCAAGTAAGTCACAAAGAAAAAAAACAAAATAAAAACAGAAATTAAAAGAATAACCGCGAGACCATTAAAGCAGGAGCTGAGAACTCGATGAAATTCACTTCGTAAATGATTCATACACCATAATATTTGGTGAGAGTAGAAAAGGATCAAATTAGCAGTTATACTCTAGCCGTGCTCTCGAATGAATTGCGTAACCAAAAGTAGACTGAATAAAACTTGACTTTCAGGAACACAAGATGAGTTGGATACTCAAGCTTTTGAAAGAGGGTTACAAATTCGTTGAACTACTCAGACACCGATATCCAACAAAAGTTCATGCTGTCAGGATTCCACATCGTCGTGGATTTTATCAGCGAAAAGAAGATAAAGAAGTTATGATTACCTTGAAACGCCTTTGCAAATATGGCAATTCCTCGCGCGTGAAGACCCTGATTTTACATGGGCCAACAGGACACGGTAAAAAGCACTGTGCGGCAAATCTGATGGATCAACTTTACATTAAACCTGTACGCTCGCGATTCTTCTGGAACAAACCATGGAATTTTCGAAACAGACCAACAATCCTGTGGACAATCAACGCAACAAATGAAGCAACGATGCTCGAAAGTTTCTGTAGTCTTGCCAAAGAAATCGGTTTGACTGAACAGGCCAAGGCTGCAAATCAGGAACTATCACTTCTCAGCAGAACATCAGAGGGAAGACAATACCACATGAATGTTCAAAATCCATTCGAAGAAAATGTCTACGCTTTGAAACACATTTACGAAAAAGTTATGAAGACCCTGAGAAGGCAAGGTTCCTGGGTGCTATTAATAGAAGGTGCTAAAGAGGAAAAGTCAAGTCGACAACAATTTTGGCCGGCGCCAGGTGATCCAAGCCTTGGAAATGGTCTGGTGATCATGACTACTGAAGATTCCAAGTTATTGCAAGAGAAAGGTGTTGACTATCCATTGGCGAAGGTGTTCATTGGTAGAATGACGGAAGAAGATGGAGCTAAATTTCTTGCGAAAATAAGTGATATCCATTACACTGTTGCTAAACGCTTCGCAAAAGTAACACATTGCATACCCCAGAATATAGCAAAGTGAGTTCCTTTACCTAAAAAAAAAAAAGGCTAAAGCTAGAGTGATCGAGTTTAGAACCTTGAAAGTTTCTTTATAATCCTCTCCACAATCAAGCATCAACCAATGAATCAACCAATCAGTAAAAATCATGAATTATCAATTCACGTCAGACGGGAACTCATCAGAGACCATCCCTTTAAAAAACATTCTAGAGGTTATAGATCTGTAATTTTAATTGTTCCAATACCAGGTTGGGAGATGCTATAAGGGAATACCAAGAAGAAACGAATAAACAACTAACTTTTGAAAATTTACCAGTACCAACGGAAGAAGTTACACTCCCTAAGTATTTGATGATGATGGAACTAACAAGTGGAAATCGAACGCAGGTAAGCTTAAAATAATTTCAGTTTAACTTGCAGACAACCAGGTTCCAGAACTGCGATGTTAGAGAAATATACTTAGATTAATGGTTGAACCGGTCTTTCTTCTGTATTTCGGGTAGTTAGTGTTCAAATAACTAACATGTTTGGTTCTCTCGTTCATCCTTAGCTGTTAAAATTCTTGGCCTGCTGTTCAAGTGAAAACTATTTGCCCCTAGAAATTCTAGAGGGAGGTATTGAAGGTCCATTGGAACGAGAAAATTTAGAAAAATTTGTTGATCTTTCTGTGAGAGAGGAAATTGATGTGGTAACCATACATCCACGAGACCACACCATGCTCAGAGATATACTCAATGGGCAAAGCCAAAGTGATAATGGTTAGTTGTAAGCTAACACTTCATTTCAGCTCTGTAACATAATGTAAGAAAAAGCTGACAGAATATGCAAAGATGACTTGAAAAAGTAATTCCATTTGTGATGGCTGTAAAACCGAAAGTCTGCGATTTAAAGAAATAACGGAAGTTTCGCAAATAAAACACTGTTATGTTTCAGCAAATATAACCTAGAAGGCAATAAGAGCCGCTAATCTCGCCTGCGTCTCAAAGAGACTTCATTACCTTCCGCTTTTTTGAGTAAGGGTTCCCTTGGAGTAAATAACTCCTAACTTCATTAACACTTTGGAACGGATATGAGTATAAAGGCAATTACCTGTAACCAAAATATTTTATGTTTGGAGTGATTACAGTGGGGCACAACATTCTCAGGATTATTCATGATAGTTTTTAGATTCTAAATATATATTATTCCCTCTACCTCTAGTGGCGTATTGTTCTAACGTTCCAATTGTTCTACTCCTTTTTGACAACAACTTATACTTTCAAATTTTATTCAAGACATGGTCTCACACTTAATCCTCTCTTAGTGTTCATAAATCGTATTTTCCCTTAGTAGGAATATTTAATTCATTTATTTTTTTCTCCTTCTTTATTTTGGTAGAAGAGACACGGACTTACGTATTGAACTTTCCCTTCTTGACAAACCAACCACGCAACATAAACACTCTTACTCTGTCGTGTCTCGATGTCTCTCGCGTGATTAAATGCCTAGGCGATGTATGCAAAAATGCTCTTCAAAACAACAGAGATAAAGATTTCAAATTGTTGCGCTTCGTTTTACCACATCTGAAAGAAGCTGTAAAGGTATGGACTAAAACGGCTATTCTTGTAATAACTAACTACTGATCTGATCTTGGGAAGAAAAAAAAGCATGAAAAATTCGCCTTTTCCCAAAACCCAAGGCTTAAAATAAAGTGAACTCTCGATCTGTGGTTGTGTTGCTGGAAAAAAATCTTAGTATGTCCAGTCATGTAGTTTTGGACGCAGATGTAAAGTGGGTTAAAAAGAACTGGGTTAAGAAGAACTGGGTTTCTTTCATGCACAAAAGTGAAGTGATTGGGGAAAAGTCGTCCAGCATCGCCAGCCCCTGTATGGCAATTTTACAAAAAAAATATTCGTGACAATAATATGGTAAAAAAGTAAAAATCAAAGTGAATAAAGGGGTAAGTTTCTAAAGAAACCGTGGTGCTGCGTCGGTGGGAGAGTATAACAGGTAATTTAGTGTTAACAACTGGGTTGAAAACGTAAATTAGCCACCGTAAAGGGTAAAAAAGCTGACGTTTCGAGCGTTAGCCCTTGGATCGATGAACTAGTTTGGCTAGGACTGTCACGTCAATGTTTTCTTCAAAAACAGTTAATGATCTAACGGAAAGTCTTATTCACTCTCATCGACGATTCATTCATGTACGAAGATTTACCTCTGTTCATTAAGTAAACAGCGAGGAAAGTAAATGTGAGTAAATTCAATTTTTTTTATTTTGAAGTTGTGAGAGTGTAAAACTGGTCTTTCCTCCACAAAAACTAAATTCGAATGGCACACTCCAACGAAACAGACGGGGATTTAATGCGGCCTTTTTTAATTAAACTCCTTCAGTTTCTATTGTGCAATTTACTGTACAAATGTCCAAATTGAACGGACTCGGAAAGACTCACCGAGAGCGTAAATTTGTTGTAGAACTTAAATTAAGACTTCGCTCGCTCTTTTACTTCGAACAAATTAAATGAATTAAAGTTCCATCGTTCAGTTTAACTGTTGAAGAAATGAAAAATGGTTTCCGTGTTTACATAGCCTGATGTAAACTCTTGGGAGGTTGGGAGAACACTTGATAAGCGTAGGAAACAAGACGCGAGGCGGAGTGGTTTCCAGCTTATCGAGTGTTCTCCCAACCTCCTAAGTGTTTATATCAGGCTATGTAAACACGGAAACCATTTTACATTTCTTTTATAAAATAACTGATGAAAGAGCCTCTTCTTGCAACGAAGGAAAGCGAAGTGCTTGTTTTTGTTGTTCATTTGGCTTTTCGGCCGTTTCTTGAATACTGGGAAAATTAAACTCCAAGAAAAATTAGGAAAATCTTCTTCTTCCATTACTGTACTCAAAACAAACTTAAAGAAACTGAGTTACTGCTAAATAAATAGCAGGGAGAACTCCGCGAGCAGATTCAATATGAAAACCGTGTTTACATACGCTCATGTAAAATGGTTTTATGGCCAATCAGAGCGCGCGTACTATTTGAATTATTTTATAAAGGATTTTATTGTACAAACGTCTTCGTAGTTGTCTCCCGTTCGCAACGATGTCATAGTTTTAAAACTTCAAACAAAATTGTCAATATGGCCTCTAATGAGCCAGCAGCTTTGCTAATTAATGTCTGATAAATTCGATCGGAGCGGTAGGAAATGCACAGCTTGGACATCTTTGCTAAACTAATTTTAAATCGAATCAGGCGTGGCCTTGCGTGGACAAGGCCAAATGCAGATGAGTGGGAGTGAATGATCCATTTAATTAGTAAATTACATTGAAAGAAAAAGTTTTTTCCTTACAGCTCAAGGACAATTTGAAACTAGAAGGAGAATTCGACCCCCTCGTCATGGCTAATGGACATGCCTGTCTTGGGGTAGGTTCGCTCATCTTTAGCAGGCCTGAAGAAGCAAGAAAGGACCTAAAGATTGCTCTAGATCTCTTCAAGAACTATGAAGGCGAGGAAAATGTGCAACTTGACTTGGCTAACGTGTGGCACTTCCTGGGAGAGGCCCACAGCAACAGGTATAAGTTGAATCCACATATTCTGCACGCAACCAGCTAAAGCATAGTTTTCAACATTAAAATCACAAATTTAACAAACATATTTGCGTTATCATAGATATTCATTTTACGAACATACTTCGCATAATTACATCATGTCTTTGGAAAGTGCTCGTTGTTGTGCTTTCATTTTAAATTTTACGAATCCAGTTTGCTTCATTTTGATACGGAAATAGAATTTCTCCACTGTAAGCACTATTCACGTCTAAAAAAGGAACTTGTTTTTGAGACGCAATTCAATCATCATATAGACAGCGAAAGCTTAAAATAATATTAATTCATGCCTGACCGAAATTCAATATTGTTCGGCCAATTTTATTGCTGGTTATTTTGTTTGTTTTATTCATGCTGAGCATGCCAATATGAAGAAAAAACTCGACCCGATGCACAAAAGAATATTTTTAACGATTACACTTCTCTACGTTACTGAACCTCAGCCTCAACGGCCACAAGAGGTCGCTGTTATAATATCTCCACAAAGAATAACAACTCGGATTACATTTGTTCACGAAAACGAAAGCATAATAGTAGTCATTTAAATCTGGTGAGATACTTGTGAGGGATACCGATGCTATATACCAACACATAACAGAAGCTCTTTCCCTGTCTAGAAAAGTTTCTTTTTTGTTTTTTGATCCAAGATTTCCAATTTTATGCGTGGAAAAGTGCGTCGACATTACTGGGATAAATCGGAGTGTCAGGTCAGTAAATTTGCTGAGGATCGCGATATACATAGGAAGAGAGGAATGACAGTCAGTTTAAGCTTAGGCAGTAAGGATACGTTATCACGAGTTTAGAATTTTGCATTTCGACTGAGGGTTCGAATTAAAGGCACAGATTCTCGCAATATCATAAGTCTTATGGGTTAATTTATGAATTTATAGTCACCTCGCGAGCCCGTGGGAAGGAGAAATATGTTTACAAGAAGCCTTACGAGAGAAAGAACAGTTCTACAAAGGAAAGGATGACCCACAGATTGCTTTGACTCTACGAAGTCTTGGAAATGTAATGAATGAAGTGGGAAGACATACCAAAGCTATGTAAGTATCAAAGGAGGTTAATTTGGACAATTTTAACATTAAAAAAGTTTGGCTGCCTCCGATCCATCCACGATCATTTCGGCAAATCGCTCATATTTTGCTCAGAGATAACCTTCAGTAAGTTATTTTCAAAATTCATCTTCAAAAGATCCCGCGATTCTTTAATTTAAAAAAAATTGAAGAGAAATTTGAAAAAACAGTCAAACCGGGGTGTCTCGCTCGACAGAATGTCCGTAACAAGCTGCTAGACGAAGTACCACTTACGTTAAAATTGCTTAAGTTAAAGTCGAACGTTGCACACAGTTTTATCGGACATCCGGATCTACAATCTTTACACGTTCACAATAAAATGATCATAACGAGACATTCCGATCCACTTTTATAAAAAACTTAAATGACAACAAATGACAGCAACGACAAAATGTAAGCAATCTTTAAAATTAAAAAAAATGTTCCTGGTATCTAAATCTTTAAATTTTCTCTTCAAAGCCGTAAGAGGCCAGTTTGAGGATTCCCTTCTGACGCTGCAGCTGAGGACATATCACTCAAAAACTCAAATTCCTTGAACAGAAATGAAACAATTTCACTCTTGATAGTAATTGCCTTGTTTATCAACTTCAGTTAGCCACAATGAAAACCTAAAACTTCATCAATTCTAGAGAAAATCTATTTTTCTCCCTGTTTAAATATTTTATAGAATGTGCCTGTGTGGGTAGAATGCATAGCTTGTGATGACAAGCAGGGCACTAAGAATACCACTGGCTGGTCCGGGAGATCTGTGAGGGGTTTGACCTATATGATGAGATTAAGTTTTAGATTAATATTCGAGGGTAATTCTTTCCCATGTATCAAAAAGATTCACTTTTGTTTCAGTAACTTCATCCAAAGAGCCTTGAAGATTTATTTCGATAAAGAAAACTTCAAAAAGGAATATGGTTTCACCCTGAGTGCATTAGGATCTTCGTACCGCTACCTTGGTCAGTATGCTGAAGCAGAAGACTACTTAAAGATGGCTCTCGAAATCTTTGAATCCGTCGAATCACCGAGCGAACTAAGGGTAATGTTATACTTAGAGATCAGAGCGATAATTTTACCTTTACGTTCTATTTTAAGCTTGTTTTCAGCCTCGTCACAATTTCTCTTCCCTAACATTATTACTTATTAGGCTCCAGTCTGATCCATATGTCTGCAGATGACATTCATAATATCATCCGGTAGCTCATATGTTCCGGATCTTAGAACATTCATGAACCGGTGGAACAGATGAATTCTGCCTGGAAACTCTTGCAAAGACTCGGTGTTTCATTTCATTCTTGAAGCCCCACAGGTTAATTACACGCTATGATTCTTTGTTACACAGGGACACAACACTAGAATAACCTTTAATACTATATTTTTACGCCAGATTATTACGTCTTCAAGCTTCACGTTTTGGGAGACTAAATGGATCTCGACTTACAGACGTATGATAAATTGTTATTCCAACATAACTTGTTGTGAATGAGGATTGTTCCACCTCCTCCCAATCTAAGATGTAAGATAGTTGTCTGCACTCATCCTCCAAAATAATACTGATTTTGCAAATATATAAACTTTCCGGCAATGTGATAAAAAGAGCGCAACAATGCTCCTAATTCGATTCTGGCTCTAGTGGCATGCCTTAAATGTTCCAGGATAAATGGCTGTTTGCCATCTTTGTTCTTGTATTTGGTATATAATTTCTTCATACTGTCATTTAGGACCTCTTTGTTTCCAGCAAAGTAAGCTGTGGTTGCATTTTGAAAGAGTAACAAATGTTTATGCATAACTTTCACTTGTTGAGGAAGTAGATTAAAGAAACAGATAGCAAAACTGATCCAACTTCCTACTCGGGCGCATTGCGTGGAATAAGCGTCTAAGGTGCCTACATGCAACGTCTGAAAGGACATTCCTCACAACAATTGTTTGCTCATATTAATGAAACATTGATACTTAAACCTACGATGACTTCTCCTAGATAACTATGTCACTGACCCAGGATACCCCCCCCCCCCCCCCCAAGCGAGACTAACATTTTATCTCGGATATAGCCACATCAGTTTTTAAACAGCTGATATATAAATTACATGCTCACACAAAATGGAATCCTCTATGGTCTTGTGCACCAGAGTCGTCAAGTTAGATGTAAAAAGCTTAAGTGCTCCAAGAAGAACTTCTCCATTTTTAACCAGTAATCTTTGGTATTCAGCATTGTAGTTAAAGTCAGCCTGAAGTTCTGGAGATTTTATCCCTAAATCTGCAAAGGTGTCGGCAAGACCTCTTTGACTTTGAACTATATTCTGTAAATGGTTCGTCATCTGTTTTGCTAGTTTAAGAACATTAACTTGCTTTACTCGTGTTTCTTTTACCAGAAGAATTTGTCCTTCAAGTTCTTTGTCCACAGTCCTTGTGCCTTTAACAAAACGTTCAGAAAGATACTGCCTGGCAAATTCATAGGTTGAAATACTCCATTTCTTTAAGTGATCTATTTTCTGAGACGCATTTGCTCGAATTAGAGCTTGGGAGGTGGGATGACTACTTGAAGTCGTACCTTCAGATGACTGCCAAGGCGTTGGTGATGTGGCGGGCTCTGTTGAGATTGACAATGACAAATAGGTATCAGGATAATGCTGTGACTCTTTACAATAAGCTCTTGTTGAGGGATCTTAGAAACATAGTGAACCATGGCGTTTTTAGCAGAGGTTAAGCGCCTCCTACTTAGCCAAACTAAAGCCGCTAAAACATGCTAACCTCCTCAACTAATAAACCAGTTTCTTCCAACTTTTTTTTTTCAATGTAATATATAGAATATAAAATTTAACTATCATTTTTTTATTGTTATTCAGTGATTCGTTGCGCACGTACAAAGGATCTCTATTTCTTTTCTTCCCAACAAAATGAGGAAAACTTAACGATCAATGGAGTTGAAGACTTTCAGAGACGATAATTACTACTAAGTGGGCGTATTCCCTATGTTTACTTCATGGCCCATATGTCATAATTAAACGCTTCTGAATCCGCCTCTAAATATGAGGTTGAATGTACCAAAAAACCGATGAATACGATGTTGACACAGTAACCGCCGATTAATTTGCTTTAGCTTTCAAATGTGCATATCAACGGAGTCCGATTAATTTTCAGTGGTAAACTTGTTTGAAATATTGAGCGCTGGAAGATCCTTTGCGAGATCGTACAAACAAGAAATCTTGACTTACAGAATGATACTAGGTTTTCTTTTTCCTCAACGTAAAACGTGCCTCCAACACCTGTAGAAAACCGCTCTTCGATAAAGATGTCGATTTAGATCCCCTAAGATTGGGTAAATAACTTATCACATTTCTCATTATTAGCCTCTTTAAAACCTTATGTTTTCATATCTTTTCACTGGTTGGTCTCTGGTAACATATGATCAAAAGGAATGCTCGAAAAGGCACATTTTGCAACAGCTTACCTCGGGAGGCTTTGTTAGTATCCTTCATTGATATCATCTTAAAAAGACGGACTAGCTTCCCTCACCAAGCTACGAAGGCGGCAGTGAATGCGCAGTGAATGCAACTAAGTGAGCAGCTAGAACAAGCATGGGCACCGGTACCCGCAACTACCTGTGAAACAGTCCGCGATAGAATGGCAAGACTATTAGAATGGAGTTACCAACTCCCACGGGTCTGTAAACGGCACAAAACAGAGTAGATAGTACAAGTATAGTGGCTCAGCTTAAGAGAATTTCATGTAAGAGTTGCGGCTTACTCATGATGTAAATTGTGGTGGGAAAGAATGACGACGATCGAAACGAAACTTTGGTAAATAGCTTCGCGTATACAAATTTTACAATATGAACAGGGACAAATAAATTGAAAAAGAGAATGGAGAGCCTGTTTATCAACTTAGGAAACAATTCACGAATATTCCATACAAGACTCGTAATACACAAACTGAACTCTAAATCATGTTTTCCACGGGAATTGGGAAGTTTGTTTTTCATGTTTTTCGAGCTTTTGAAGTATGCTTCTAGTAAACAAGTATTATCTTGTCTAATTCTTCTCACCGCAGTCGTTTAGAGGGCAAGAAACCTGTCTCCCCAAGAAATCTCTATTGCGAGAGAACTTGCAAGAGAACTTGCAAGAGAACTTGCAATATTTTTTGCATGTATCTATCGAAGAAATTTTGAAAGGCGCAACCTTTGGGTGATATCAGAATAAAATGGCATTAAGAGATAAGAGTATAACGGGAAGAGTAAAAAAATCAAAAGAATAATATGTCAACGGCCACCTTAAACCACGTGGTTTATTTTCATCAGATTTTTCTAATTCACTGCTGTTTCAAACATAATCGATGAAGATAAATCGAACTGGTTGCGATTATCTGGCCTGAACAAATCAAGTGACTAAATGGTCTCAACCTAAAAACCTTACCTTTCAGATTGGCGTGACACTCAGCCGTTTGGCCTCTGTGCAAAGAAATATGGACAAACTAGATGAAAGCATTGCTTCATTGGAAATAGCACTTGAAAAGTTTGGAGACAACAACATTTACAGTGCTGTTATTTTATCAAAGCTGAGTGTAGTATACCGTGACAAAGGGGATTTTAAAAGAAGTTTCCTGTTTGCGTCGAAAGCTAAAAAAATTGTAGATGAACATTATGGCACAAAAAGTCATCCCGGTAAGTCGTTGTTAATTTCCATGGTATTCTCCACAATATAATCATTTTGTTATTAATAAAACGAAGAGGTTGAACTATTCATTACATTAGTTACTTTAATCCTTGAGAAATTTTGAACTCGAGAAGATCTTTTTTTGTTACAGCTAGAGCTACAGCACTGTTAAATCTTGGACATGCGCTGAGTGATGTGGGAGATGTAGACGATGCAGTAAAAAGTCTTACAGAGGCCTTAGATATCAACAAGGAGATCCATGGTAGTATCCATCGCATTGTGGCCGCCAACTATAATTACTTATCGTATGGCTCCCTACAGATGGGAATGGTTCAACAAGCCAAGAAAGAGCTACTAAACGCTTTAAAGGGTATGGACCATTACTCTCGCTCTCACCCAGGTAATAGGCAACATTGTTATTTTGAATTGCATAAACGGCTCGAAACTTACTCTTGAATCGTAGAAATGGTTTGAGTTTAGGGTATCTTTCATACTTAAAGATGACGAATGAGAGGATTTTTATTTCTTTTATAATCTGACGGATTTTTTGTGTAAACAATCATTTAAAAAAATTGACAGGAGAGAAGTTTCCCTTCAACCAGGATTAGATTCGACCCAGATAAGATGCTAAACCGAGGACATGTGAGGAAGCCCCCAGGATCTCGCCTCTTTAGTCTCCGGTGCAATTATTTTTCTTACAAATTAAAATCAGGGTCTTCTTACCCGCAAAATACTGCGATAGCGAGAGATTTCCCAACGATCGTAATAATTTCGATCAATGTATAGTAGACTCCAAAATCAAAGATCACATATAAACGCTTACAGCTGTTTTCTTTCCCTTAAGAGAGAGCTAATTCTCTAAAGAGGTTAAGCAAGGTCTGCTTAATCCTCGGGGAAACCGTCAAAAGCGCAGATTTAGCAGACCGTGCTCTCCAAATCTACAAACAAACGCATGGAGATACCATGGAACACAGAGAGGTAAGCCAGAATACATTGCATAGTTGGTGAGTTAGATTTTTATGATACGTAGAAGTACAACGGCCCGTGAATTTTCCTTTTTGTTTGGAAGGAGCCCTTCTCAGGAATACGGTAATTAAGGAGTCAAAACTTTTGCGCATGTCTAGGAATATTAAATAAGAAAACTTATATTACGATATACATCAATAGTAGGCCTTTCGAACAATTTGTCGATTTTTCTTGAATTGTACCGCCGGTTATGGGTAAAGGAACCTTTTTCAGCAATTTTTTCGCTGTATTACTTGCTCAATTTTAACAAATAAGTTTGATGTTGCTGTGCCTCTGTTCAGTAATAGATCACAGCTGACGTTCATAATGTGGTAAGAAAAAAACAGTGGCAAACAAGGCGAAGCCGACTGTGTCACTAATGTTCTCGCCACATTTTGACGTCTCTTAGTGAACTGTTCCTGTACAAACCCGCGGCAATATGGAATCTATTTGTTTTACATGATAGAAAGCAAACTATTGAGAATGGTGCGGTCATCTATGTGTCTGTCCTCCTGCATGTCGAATTCAGCTTATTATACTGTATGAAAGCCGTTGTCTATTGACAATGAGAGTGATTTAGCAATGGGACGGGAACGTCACTTGATAACGGCGCGCGCAGCAAAAATACTGGTAAGAAACTGGGTTAAGGAGTTATGGCGAAACCATGAGTTATGGCGAAACCATGTAGAAACCAAGCGACCCAACGATGGAGTTGTTTAAGATGAGTTCCTGTTGAACCATGAAAGAATGAAATGAACTCAAACTAGTTACCAACGAAACGGTTAGACTTAAGAATAAGACTTCGTTCCTGTTTTCCTTTTTGCCGTTGTTTGATTTTATTATAAATATTTTCTAACGATCAAAGTCGTCAAAGACTGAATCAAATCAATAGATTAAGACAGCTGTGCCGAAATCAACTTGATTGTTAGTTTTCTTTTTTGACTTAAATTTGCAAAACATTTTTTCATCACGGTAAAAACGACAATGACAACAAATAACACTGAATAATGCAGCAGGTAAGCTTCGTGATATTTCATTTTGATAAACCTGAAGTAAGTTTATTGATGAATTAATTCACGATAAAATTAACAGTATCCCATTATTAGAGTTTTCATACAGGGATAAAGAAATGTATCAAAGAAAAGCCCTTAGGTTGTTTAAAGCCTTGCTTTATTAAAAGCGAACTGAGCCCTGAAATCTTGGATCGCTTCCTAACGATCGTGCTTCCTTTCGGGAATTCAGCATAAATGTAGCGGTAAATTTTCACAAATACACCGAAAAAGACAAAGAAAGGGACCTGTTTATCCTGGAAATGAGTTCTGAAATCATTCCAAACAGCATCATCTCGGTCATAAGTGCACAATTTACGCTGATCCCAGGCGTTTTGATCGCGACGGGAAAACCGACGAAATAACGGCCTGAACTTGTTAGGGAGAACGGCAACGCCAACACCGGAAGTCGGAATAGAGTTGTGTCTAGACTATCCGCGCCCTTTCCCATTCTGAAATGACGTTCCTGTCCGCCTGCTAAATCACTCTATTAAGACTGTCAGACGCATTAATCTATTTAAGCCAGCAAAAAGTTTCTCTTCACTATGGCTGAAGCAGTATTGCGTAAAAACTGAAGAAAAAAAAAATGAAGATGTCGAAGCCTTACAGATTTCCTGAAATTAAAAGATCAAAAAGACATTTGGCCGAAGTTGATCGCGGCACTAAGAGAAAATAGCCACAGCACCACGAATTTCTAATTAAGACTGTAAGTTGGGCTTTCAAGCCAGTGTAACAAGAGATATTAATAAATATCGATAAACATTAGAATCAAAACATGAACGAAAATTGAACATATTTGATGCCTTGACACACAATGGGGAACCAAGTTCTTCAAACTCGTGACAATGATTCGTTTCCCTTACAAAAATGAAAACTCTTTATGTTAGGAAAAAAATAGATTTTCAGAAATACAGTTCCACTTAAAGATAGAGCCTCGGATTAAATACCAAGGAAATGATAATATTTAGCCCTAGCGAGGAGAAACAAAATAAAACGAACACCTGATTCCACCTCGTACTAAATATCCTGAAAAATGCAATTCTTTCCAAGGTAACGAGTGCATACAGAGGCATAAGGGCCACACACCAGCAAATTTAACTGGAAAGTTTAATTAAACTCGTCATTCCACGAATTGTTTCGATGATCGCCTCTTCATAACATGATCCCGAAAGTTTAATATTTTTTCAAATTACCTTCACACCCTTACGTTAACAAGTAAGCGGATTTTGCAATTTCAGATCTGTGCTGTGTTTTGAGACAAATTTAGGTTATTCACAGAATTCGATTAGGACTTATGTCGTAACACATGTGTCCAGTTTCTCTCCACTCCTTTGCAAACAGATTTCAACTCAACCGTAATGAAGGGAACACCCTGGTATTTTGTACCCCTTTCCCCAACTATCCGGGGCTTCTAATTGCAAGGACGAAATTTTGATTCCACCTATGATTTCGATAAGCAAGTAACTAAACGCCTTTTCTCCAAGTAGGGTAACAACATGAAGATAAAAATTATGGTGACTTCGTGTTAAAATTGATAGGCGACACAACAAGTCTGGTGTATTGTTTATTTCAGGTGCGGATGGGTACAGTTCGGGTGGCTCACGCTTGCTCCAAGCTTGGTTTGTGTGACAATGCTGAAAAATATTTCAAAGAGGCAGAACTTGATTTTCCCGAGGGCCAAGAAATTAGGTCCCACTCCGAATTTGCCGTACTTCTCAGGAAGAAAACCGAAATTATTTTAGACAGCTACGAATTCCGCTGGCCTTTGGACGAGGTGGGCGTCCAAGAAATACTTTCGCAGGCAAACAAGGATTTACTCCGAGCAGAAGAAATTTTGAGCTATCCATTTCGATTTGAACAACAAATCGCATTAACAAAGAAGGAAAAAGCGCGCTTAAGCATGCTAATGGGAAATTACTGCAGCGCGTATGACGACATTCGTTCAGCTCTAAACATTCTCCCGCGGTATTGCGATTATTTGAAGGCAGATTTTTTATTGGTAAAGAGTGATGCTGAAAGAGGCAGAAATCTGGCTAATAGATCAAAGGAGTCTTTGGAAACAGCTGAAAATATTTATCAAAATACTTTTGGTGACGACCATCCAGTGATTGCAGTCACTTTGCAAAAGAAGTGTTCTCTACATTTGGATTTCGAGCACAAAAGTAACACTGGCAAGAACGAAGCACATAAATATTTTGAAGCAAGTCACCAAGCTTGTGAAGTCCTTAAAAGTAACTTGGAGCAGCAGCTTGCCGGTGTCCAAACAGATTTTCTCAAAAACTACAGTTTTGAGCGACACCCTATTCTCAAACGACAGAAGTCGCTTCATAAAAGGTTAACGCGTAATCAAGGTTCTTGGTGAGCTGAAGAAAGACACTCTACAAAAGAAAAAAAAGAACAAGAACATTTCAACAACAGTTTACAGAAGTTTATAGAGCCTGAAAACGATTCCCTTTCTGTTCACCAATTCTTTGATGTGACGATAGTTCCGCTCTTTCTATTATTTCATTGATGAAACGACCATTAGGGCCACTTTCTTATATCATGGCTGTCTCATATTATGCTTTCATGTTCAGAGGTAAAGATGAACGCGACTTACAAAAATTTTAGGGGAAGCGGCAGGTTGTTTTAACATAGGTTTCATTCCAATAGACTACACTCTTTTTTGAGCACTTATGAAGTGAGAAAATCACGATAATCGTGAATTCTTGTGAGTGGTGGAAAAGAAGTGGGAGGGGTGGAGGCAAGACAGTCTCCTGGTTATATGGAATAAACATTACGTAAAATCACACGTCGTTTCTCTACTCCCATGAACAGCCAATCGTTACTAACCACTTTAACTAACGATCTTCATCTCTGAGTGCTACTATTGATGGACGGTTTCATCTAGAAACGTCTTTAAAGTACAAAATGAAATATTTTGTTTTCTGTAATATATTGTTAAATGCTCTCTGACCAGTTGCTGTAAGTTAACTGGTTATGTCAACAACTACTTAATTTTACTTAATTTTACTTAATTATACCTTTTGACCCTTCTAGGAGTTTTTAGACTTTCCAGGGTTTCTAGTTAGACTAGTATTATCCTTGAATCGAGATAAGTCACGAGGTATAGCTTTTTATGTAAAAAAAAAAAAAGTGTGAAGAGTATCTTTGCGGAAACGAATCTATTTTGGTATTCGTTTTTAAGTTGCATGCTTATGGAACACGTTATTGTTATTAATAAGGAAAAGTGAATCCGTTCCTCATTTAATCCTTTCACTCCCAAGATCTCATTTGAAATTCTCGCTACTGTCTGCCATGCAATTGTTTTGATGTTCCTTCAGAGAATTTGAAACATCAAACACCAAAGGAACTCTTTTTTCGAAAATTAGCATGACAACAACAATAACAAATCCAGATGTGCCCTCTAATCAGTAAAATTTGAGTAAGCATAATTAATGCAACCCTTGAAAGCATATCATAAGTTATCGGTGTTTGTATTCAGGCTTGGAATACATTTCACTTGCATTCATAGCATATATTCTCTGATCTTCTTTGAGAGATGATATGATCTATTTATTTATCATACCCTTTTTGGATACAAGGAATTCAGCTTTTCAGCTGCAAAGCGCTATTTTCAATATATATCTATCTATTCATATGAAATGTATAGCTCGTTCAGAAGAAAAGCCATATGTAATGTTTTCTGAATCATCACCTGGGTTGAGGAATTCATAAGTAGGTACAAAGGTAGCATATTTAGGAAAATCTGCATAGAATAAAATATTTTCGTCAAAGTGAAATATTTAACTTTAAAATTGTTCTAAATCAAACACACGTTTGGTCATACCCTTAGAGTTTTTTCTCCGCGGCCTTTAACTTTTCAAGAAGTCCAGTGCCTTCATTTTCTAGCGCATTTCTTCGTTTCTCGGCACCATGGATCTCTTTTTCTGTGCTTTAATGATAATAATATTTAATACTTATATTGCGCTTTTTCTATAAAAATACTCAAAAGCGCATTACAATATTATTAAAAACTAAATTAAAACCAGTAAAATTACTCGGTAAAATTACAATATTACAATATTAACATTACAATATTAAAAAAATATATAAATAATAAAAATAAAAAATAAATAAATAAATAAATAATCTAACTAAAAGCCTTTTTAAATAAATATGTTTTAACAGAGCGTTTAAAAGAGTCGATTGATGTTTCCTGTCTAATTGGCAGAGGAAGACTGTTCCATAAAAAGGGGGCAGCCATCGATAACGCGCGATCTCCCAAGGTCTTCTTCGTTCTTAGCTGAGGTCTTTCTAACAATATACCATTATTGTTACGGCGTAGTTGGTAACGTGAGACCGGTAAGACAGAGACAAGATCCTTAAGATAGCTAGGCGCAACACCGTGAAGAATCTTAAATGTAACAAGGAGAATCTTAAAATCTACGCGCAAGCGCACTGGTAGCCAGTGGAGTTCTCTTAGCAAAGGAGTAACGTGACAATACTTAGGTGCACAGTAAACCAATCGAGCACTGGCATTCATGACTCTTTGAAGTTTCTTAATTAGATACTCAGGAGCACCGTACAATAAACCATTACAGTAGTCAAGCCTGCTTGTGATGAACGCGTGAACAAGCCTCACGGTGGACTCACGAGACAAATACTTCCTAATGTGCCGGATATTGTACAAATAATAAAACGCGCTAGCACAAGTCTTAGTCACATGAGTCGACATGTCCAGATGAGAATCGAACCAGGTGCCCAAATTGCGCACTGAAGAAACAGGCGATACCTCAGCTTGGCCGATCTTGATCTTGTCAACGGACACCTTTGATAACTGTCGTTCCGTGCCAATGATCAGGAACTCAGTTTTATCGTCATTTAGCATTAACTTATCATCTCTCATCCAAGCGCGAACGTCACGAATACAGTTCTCAATCGCAATCACAGCATCAGCCTCGCTGGTCTTATCAACGGGATTAAACGATATATATAGCTGTGTATCGTCCGCGTAGGTGTGAACGGATGGCAGATGAGATTTCATGATGTCAAACAGCGAACTCGCGTAAATGGTAAATAAGAGGGGGCCCAAACAAGAACCTTGTGGGACCCCGCAAGACAGATTAAATTTATCAGAGAGCGATCCGTTAACTGAGACCTGCTGCGTTCTTCCCGCCAAATAAGATTTAAACCATGATAAAGCCTTATCCCGAAGGCCAAGCTTGGACTGCAGCCTGTGCAGAAGAATACCGTGATCTACGGTGTCAAACGCAGCGCTGAGATCTAACATAACAAGCAATGTGACGTGACCTTTGTCCATATTTAGCAGAAGATCGTTTTTAACTTTTAATAACGCCGTCTCAGTGCTGTGATTCTGCCGATATGCGCTTTGGAGGACAGGAAATAAGTTGTTGGCTGTCATATGATCTTGTAATTGGATAGCCACGGACTTTTCCGTGATCTTTGATGTAACCTTCTACCCAAGGAATTCTGCTTCAGCTCATTTGCATTTGCCTTCGCAAGGTCACAATTCCTTCCACTGAATCTGAAGAGCACCATATCTTGGCGCTCGTGGAGGACTTCGTCTTCTTTGATTTTTCTGTAGCCTGATAGGGAACTCGCACCGCTGGAGCCTTCCGTCACGATTTTCTTGGCGATTTCGGACACTATTAGAGCTTCGAATGTACTGCATTATCCTTCAAATACACCCTACCGTTGCATGAATTTCTCAAATGACTTGGCCTACAATGTCGAAAGCAGACCTTGCTCTTCTTTGTCACGCGGAAGTACTTTCCTTCATCTCACCTTAGCGCAAGCAGCCATCGCTCATGTCTCGTGTTATTGGTAGGACAATCAAAATCAATCTTCTCGTTGTTATCCATTATCTTTGTAACATTTTAATTGCATTCAGGCACACAGCAGAATGAAGGTATTGCCGTAAAAAACTCGACGTAAACACTCTAAACTAGCACAAAACTTCACGAGCTGAGGAACGACTAGCCTCGTTTTTTTGCTGCTCGGCAGCGAGATCCTCCAAAAATTTATGGAATGGGCGTATGGTCCGGATTTTTTTCTGCAGCATTCGCGGTAAATTGAAATTTATTCCGAAAGTTGATGTAGAAATACAACAATTAGTTGTCACCAACTTTCCGTGGAAAAATGTATGGAAAATACAAAGTTTAAATAAAATGGATAAAGATAAGAGTGGGCACAGCGAAGGCGACCAATGACATTAAAAAAACATCTCCGACTTCTTGTGTCTTCTGCAGACACTGTAAACAACCTGATCGTCGGAGAGCCTTTCACCGACCTAACATTAACACTTTTTTTTCCCTGACCATACTTAATAAACCGCACAAGACCATCAAACTGACTGGTCTTTATTCCAAAGCAGACTGGCCTTCTCTATGTTTGTTACTGCACTGTATACTTGGCATTGTGCGTTCTTGGGAGATGATATCGATAGCCACTGGACTGCATGGTTTCGCTTATTATTTACAGCAATAGAAGAGTGTATCGCGGAGCGCCAGCTAAAAACGAGAAAACATGCTCCATGGGTCACTCACGATTTACCTAAGTCATGTAAGAAAATAGGAAACTCTAAAGGAAAGCAAAAGGATCGGGCCTGCCGCAAGATAAATAACTCCATAAAAAAGGCCTGCAACTCTGCCTGGAGGGAACACATCAGTAAGATCTCTAAAGATCTAAAGATGGTCAAGAAAAATTCGAAAAACTTTCCCTTAGCAGGTCGAAAATACCCACTGTTTCTACCAGTTTGTCTCGCAAAAAGATGAAGTGGAAGGATGATTGAGAGAATGAGCAATTAACACTAAACGCTGCATGACTCGTTGCCCAATTGACTTAGAGTCATCTGAAGAAAGTACGCAACACAAGGATGATGGTGCCGAAGTGTTCACTTCATGGATTTCTTCAGACAGCAACTTTGAAGTTTTCTTATAAGTTCCCTTAATAGAAATTATCAAAAAGGAAAACTAGCCATAACTCAGAGGAGGGGTATCATTTCTTTGATCCCGAAAAAAGACAAAGCATTGAACGAATTGAAGAATTGGAGTCCCATAACCCCTCTTAACTGTGATTACAAAATTGTATCAAAAGCGATCTTTTCTCGTCTCAAGTTTGTGTTGTCGGATCTAATAGATCACGATCACACCGGTTTTCTGAAAGGCCGTTTTACTGCAGAAAATATTTCTTTGATCAATAATGTTATTTCCTAGACCCACTTGAAGGATATTCCTGGATTACTCCTGTTCATCGACTTCGGAAAAGCATTCGATACTATTGAATGGACTTTCTTACGGAAAACGCTAGAGCATTTTGGTTTCGGTTCCTCTTTAATTAATTGGATTAATTTATTTTACTCTGATATCAAAGCTGTATAATAAATAATGGATGGTCGGGGAGTTTCTTTAGCTTAGATAGAGGTGTAAGGCAGGGCTGCCCGCTCTCGCCTTACCTATTTATTCTCTGTGTTGAGGTGTTAGCTACAGCTATTCGTTGAGACAATGAGATAAAAGGAATCCCTGTGGGAAATGTAGAGCGTAAATTAAAGTCTTTTGCTTTGTTAGACAGTTTCGGTCAACTGTCTGGCCTGCGAGTTAACTGTAGAAAAACCGAAGTTCTCTGTAGAGGATCAAAGAAAGGGTCAAATCAAACTATGTGCCCTGAAAAAAACTTGAAATGGGCGGATAGTAAAGTCAAGGCCTTAAGTGTTTGGTTTTGTACGGACCAAAATGAATAAATGAAAACTAACTATGAAGACAAGGTTCACAAAGTTGAAGATATTCTTAACAATTGGCAAAACAAGAGATTAACGCTTCCTGGAAAGATTACAGTTATAAAGACGTTGGCTGCATCCCAATTGGTCTACATTTTGTCCTCATTACGTACATGTTTTAAATCGTTTAAAAAATAAATGATTTGCTTTTCAAATTTCTCTGAGATGGAAAAAGGGAAAAAATCAAACGGTCTGTAATGAGTGAAATGATTGCTGACTATGGCGATGGTGGTCAAAAAATGTTGGACATCATGAAATTCAATTAGTCTTTAAGGATCGCGTGGATAGTAAAGTATATTTCTGATGATTGTAAATCCAAATGGAAAAATTTGGGGGATTTCTTTCTTTCAAAATGGGGAGGAAAATTAGTTTTGCTTGGAAACTTGGAAAAAAAAAGACGCCACCAACATGATATCAAGGAGGATTTCCTCCGAGAACTTATCGAAATCTGGGTGGACTTTAATTTTAGAGAATCTTTCTTGTCCAAACACGACTTTTGTAGTAATTGTATAATATGGAATACCTCATCAGTCAGAATTGCTAATAGGCCTTTTTTTATAAGCACTGGGCAAAAGCTGGTGTACAAAATATCAAAGATCTTGTTAACGATGATTTTAGGTCGTAACTTATGGAGAGTTTAGAGAGAACTATTGCTTATCTGCCTCTTTCC